CTTGGGGAGTCCAGCTGAAGATGCTCTAACAGCTGACTTGCCGCATGCTCCATCTATATATTGCAAATCAACGATGTCTTGTACATATGTCCGGTTTTTAGAATCTGTTTGTTAAGACCTAAAACCACGACAAGTATTTTAGAATGGAGGGAGTAACAAAGCTTTGTTGTGCCACCGTTTATATTGCTGTTATTATTTTGATTTCTATTGCCTTTGCTTGTTGATTTTTTGGTTTGTCCAGATTTTCTTGCTTTAGATTTTTCTCATTGTGTTCATACTAGCTAGCAGTATTTGTGCTGTGCAATGCAAATGGCATGCAATGCCTATTTCAAACCGATCAAATTACACATGATAAACTAGCACATTTGCTGCCTAGAGTTTCTTGGAGGTCTGTATGGTATACCACTCCTACCAAATTGATGCTATTACACCAATAGTGGAATATGCGGGTAATTTTTTTTTAAACGGAGGCAAAAGATTTGCCTCATCGATTAATTAAGCAGAAGAGAATTGCCCAGTTAATTAACGGAAAACCGGGCGAAAACCAATACAGACCAACCACACGTGAACTATTCACAGAGCATGCAACCCCTAAGCACATGATCGCCTGACAACCAAACCCAACACCTAACGTCCACCAACCCCACACTGCTACATCGCAAAGACACCCCAACGAGAGTAACTCGACCGAAGACCACAGGCACCACCAAATCCACGAAGACAAGCCAGGCCACAGTATGCGGGTAATTATTACTTACGAACTGATTGTCGTGGCTCACATCTGAAAGTTTGTCTCGGACAGTATTTCTGCGAATTAACTGTTCACCTGTTTAAGACCTCCATGGTTGATGGTTGACCGAACCCTGCTTCCTCACTTTTTATTTGCTATTATTATTAATACGGAAGAGGTTACATGTATGGTGACAACATGAGCACAATTGTTTTTCTGTCCAGTGGGCTGGTTGGTACTTTGTGCTAGTATCATACGTAATTCATTTGAGGCTTCCAGGGATGCTTTTCCAAGTGTTGACTGAGCCTACCAATTTCTTCAGGTTTCAGGTTACATCCTTCGTGCCGCGTTGCAGCACTGCAGCAAGCGGCGTTCACCCCCGGCAACCCCCCCTGCATGCTGCATTGCAACATGTCGGTGACCTTGCAGCATCGCTGCCTCGGTGCCCGCCTACAACACACCCGACCTTGTGGCAGCGTTGGCACGCCCGTCGAATACAACAACGCACTCTCTCCGCACACACTCACCCCAACTCTTTGCGTCGCCGACTCCATCCCTTAAGGTTGCAAAAATAGCAAGCCACCGCTTGTTGCAGCACACAACCGGCTCGCAACATCGCGCGTCACCCCGCTCGCAGCAATGGGAGATGTTGGTGTCCTTCCCGCATCATCGACGCATCTCCGGGTGCCCCCCTCACAATAGCAATGTTGTAGCAATTGTGAAGAGCCTGGAGCCCACTTGAGGATGAATGCAGGGAGTAACACACATGGGCACACTGTTGTGGAATTGACGGCCGAGCGACGTGATGAGGTTATGCAGTCATGAAGGCGCATGTGGAAGGAGATGAAGAAGCTAAGAAGTACTCCCTCCTTTCCAAAATATAAGGTGTGCATTGAATTTTTTGGTCTTTATCACACAACCTTTGACTATGATTTTCACTTATTGTATGCCTACAAAATTATTATAATGACATACGAAATACAATTGTTTTGCAAGACAAATACAATGATAATACATGTTCAATCCATGTACTTAGGTATATATTATGGTAAAAGTCAACTTTGGCATCAAGATTTTGTAGGTCATTTTTCTCTCGTCCCTGGCGGCTACAAACCTAGCCGTCGCCAGGAGAGGCCAATCTTCCAGCACCGTCCTCCGGTAGTTCCCCTTCACCGGCGACCTCGATCGTCGATGGTGAGGAGGGGTCCCCGGATCCACGCGTGTGGATCGTTTTTTCTCCCTCGTATTCTAGGTTTTTTGGTTGTTCATTGTCTTCGCTTCGGCGGCGATAATGATGGAGCTGAATAAAGATTCTTCGGATCCTTCCCTGACGAGGCCATCGGTCCTACGGTTGGGGATGGACTTGAAAACCAGTCTGTTCAAGCAAGGTTGGCGTGGCGGCAGCATCCTTGTGGTGGGCATGTATCCTCGGGCTCCGTCGTTGCGATGACGTTTGCTCTAGCGTCGGCGCAGAGCTTGGGAGATAGTCCAGGAGCGGATGCAGATTGTGGTATGCATTGATGACATCTGGAATACGAAACATGTGCTAGGCTCGTGGTTCGTGGATGTCAGGTATGGTTTCCTCCTTCGACGTCTTAGTCGTGGTGGGGTGCCAGATCTGGAGTTCGATGGCGTGTCCGGGGTGTTGCACCGGTTTGATTCGTTCAACGGCAAGGGCTTCACTTTTGGCGAGCCACCTTGGAGGTTTGCAAAGCTGCATATCAGCGATGGAGCCGCGTAGAGCTCGGGTGAGGAGGTGGTTCGTCATTCTTTTCTTTGGTGGCTATTGTGGTGGTACCGGAGGCAGGTGACGGCCGTTGGTGTCAAGCTCAGAGATGTTATATTATCTTTTCAGTTTTGTCATGTCGGTCTTTACGTGTCTTGTACTTTGATCTTTATGACATGAATGAGACATCTATTACCATGCAAAAAAAAAGTTGTGCATCAAAGACCGTGCAAAGTCAAGCGTGCCTTATATTTTAGGAAGGAGAGAGTATCTTGTAAAAGGATAAGATCGAAATAAAATATCCGTTTTGTTAAAGCACATCTAGATGTGCCCTAAGTATTGTACATCTAAGTCCTATATCATTACTTTTACGTGAAGATTCGTGCAAGCATTTTCATTAGTCTTCTTTCTTTTTCTTTCTAGTTTGATTAAATTATTTAGATGTGCAATAATAGAGCACCTCTTGATGTGCCTTAGACGGACCCATAAAATAAATAAAGTTATGGGAACGGGGAAAGGTGTGTGTGCGGGACACTTGCGGTGTAGGAAGGCGGCGTGCTATAATCAATCTGGTGATTAAGAATGTTTTCCAAGAAATTTTGTGTAAGGACTGTTCTACAGTCTATACTGATATAGAACGTACTTCCTTCGTGATTTAAATTTGAACTACAGTCACGACACTTATTTTTAGATGCAGGGAGTATAACTTTAACTGAAGTGATACATAGCATTATTAAGCTAACCCAACCAAGCGTTTTAGCGATGAGAGGTCGCATATTTTTAGTGATGAGAGAGGAGCTTAGCAAAATGAACAAGTGGGTGGCTGACTCGTGGGTCCATACTCACTATGGGCCCGTGAGCAACCGCGTGTTCGAATTCGGCCCAAGCAGACATTGAGAACACCGCAGAACCAACCAGTCGTCTCCACACTACGCCCAGAAACCCCGAAATCCACAAACCCTCGCCGGCGCCGCCGTTGGCCATGGCTGAGCAGGTGGCACCCTTCACGACGGCGGCCAATGCACAGTGCCATGGCGCCGACTTGCACAAGATGGAGGAAACTGCGGAGTTCAATAGATTGTGTTTACTTTGCCCAATAGGAGGTGAAGAATCTACAAGGATGCTCTCATATTCCACCTTGGAGATTGAGCATATCTACAAACTTGCTAAGCTCATCTTCAATCTATTACTATACAACATTCACCCTTTGTTTTTCATTTCTGCTACTCCTTAGATTGCGTGCCACCTAGTGGACGTTCATATTGAGCATCATCTAGAGTGAAATGCTACCCTACTTCATCATCAAACACTATACTTTCTTTCGTCCGCCTCTAGATCTTCTATGTGTTTCAAATAGGCAACATATTGAGCATCATCTAGAGTGAAATGCTACCCCACTTCATCATCAAACACTATACTTTCTTTTGTCCGCCTCTAGATCTTCTATGTGTTTCAAATAGGCATCCCATTTTGGTTGGTCTTTTAGAAACTCCCAACAATGCTCAAACATAAATGGACCGTCTTGTTGTGATCTGCCTCATAAGTTTGCATTGCCCTCTTCTTTAAATCTGCATCATTTTTTTTGAGGGAACAATCTGCATCATTTTCACCACTACAGCATCAGCCTCCTTAGACCGCAACCCTTTTCTTAATTCTTCCAAAGCGACCCTTCACATTTTTTGGGATGATATTGTTGTAGACAGCATCAACATCATTCCAATATTGGTCGTTCTTCTTGTAATTCGATTGGATCGGGTCTGTTTGAATTATTCAACCAGGCACTGACCTGCAATATTATTAGAAGGGGTTTATCGTCATGCTAGTAATGCAACACATGGAGCATACTAAAAAAACTTACCAGTCGAAGCTCCTGTTTTGTCGATAGCAGGTGTTTTTCAGTCCTTGTCAATGTTGATTGGCTGTGGCGAACACCCATTGTTCACCAGGTTGTGTGGCTTGGTGTGTTCTCAAAGAAACTAAGGAAACCACAAGGTGGGTGAGAATCCACTCCCTGGCTCAACCAATACTACATGATCAAACAAATTGAGTTCGTAATACATCATGATTTTAAACAAATGGCATACAATTTCCCTTTCCCCAGCAGCCAGTCCCTTTGCTTCCAAAAACTCTATTCCTTTGCTTCCACATGCTCCAGCAAATCAGAATGTAAAATGCATACCATCCCTGAATACACACACAGTGTGGTCAAGGGGCGGCTGGGCATGGATGGATGTACAACACCTATGCAAAGACGCCATGAGGACGGAGCTGAAGCTCCTCTATTTGGTTATGTTGCTTCTCCTGCCTCAAATGTAATGCTTCGCTACTGTTACCCTAGTTTTTCTATGCCTTTCATGATTGAAAAGAACCTCAACTATCTACCATGTTCCATTCAAGAGATGGAACGGAACAGGGGGAGCCGTTTTCGCTACCCATTTATCTAAAAACACACACCAGGAATGGAACATTTAGCCACAATGAAATGGTTCAAGGAGCATAGATAGATAGATAGATAGACAGACAAGGAAATTGGTAGCATGGGTTACAGGGCAAGTAAAATAACAGTTGATAGCACCACACACCAAGCCGCAAATTCAATAGACCAACATAAGGCCGCGGGTAGCAATAGATATACCACGTCCACTCCATGGCTTGCAACGAAAACACAACACCCCACTACTCCACAGAGGCTAAGCTTGGAAGACCCCCGCGGCGAACGAAAACGGGTCAGGGAAAGAGAAATCCGCCCCGGTTTTGAAGTTCCAGGGAGCACCCCCTGGTTGTCCCTGGTTCACAACCACAAACTGGTAGCTGGACTCAGATGCCATGTTTCTGCAGTTGTGTCTCACCTTGGCGACCGCCTCCTTCGTCGAGTACGGTGTGAAGCGTGGATTGGCCATCACGATGAACGCGGACCGCAGCGAGCGTGCGCTACCGAAGAAGAACTCCAGGAAGCCAACCTCACCAGTGTCCCCTCTAAACTCGCGGAGGCACATCGTGTGGATGCGCGAGACGACATTTTCGATGGGACCAGACTCCTCCCAGAACTTGCGGGTGAGGTGGTCACCAGTGGGTTGATCGCATCTTTTGCTCTGCAAAAAACAGATTAGATCGGTCAACAGTTGGATGTACCAGAAGTCAAGAGGCAAAGTAATATAAATCAAAATATCAGTAACTAATATCATAACATAAACAGATGAACATGCGTCCAGACGACCTGATTGTTGAGAATAAATGGTAATGCTTGGCTTATTTTAGCTATATTGGTCAAGAATAAGAATGTACTGTATATGATAATTTGTCAGGTATGCCCAGTCATAATAACACCGTTATCATCATCTTATTCTGTTATTCACGGGCAAATTACTCAGCCTAGCATGCATAACACAATACATGGCTCACACTTCACAGTAGAAGAAAATAAAAAGACCATAAAGAACTTTAATGATAATTGACTTGACAGATCTATGCAAATAAGTGAGAACACTGCAAGCAACTAAATCTACTGCAAGATGGAACAAGTTTTTCAATTGACGAGTAGAGGAAATTGTTAAGAATAATAAGCTGAGATAAATAAGTCCGTAGTTTCCATTTGCTGTCAGGAAGAAAAAGGTTAGAAAAGAAAATGGTATTATAAATTCCCTTTTTGTGAGCAAATGGAGCATTTTTTTAGGCTAAGATTCAGAATCTACACTGCATGCAGTGCTAACTGCTCAACACTAAATGCTGGAACCTATACTGGTCCATAACTAAATGCTGGATCCGATTTGTAGTAGAAATGACAACTCTATATTTCAATGGGTGGAAGTACCACACTGCAAATTACGAAATAGCCTAGTAGTGCAGGTTGCAGAGAAAAAAAAATATGAATCATGTTATCCTAACAAGATGTGCTGAGCATAAATCCATGACGGTAAATTAAGATATATGTGAGGCTGCAAACTTCAGTCCAGAATGGACGATTTTGGTCTTAACAACATTTGCCAGATATGTTCTTTAACACGAACTTCCGGATGTGAGCTACAACAGCCTCTTTCTATAATAAATTAGTCAGGATAAGTCCCGAAGGTCCTGATATGATCAAACTAGCGTACTAGCATCCATGCAGCGATTATGGTATTACCAATACCGAAACAGCCTCGAGAACTGTCAACATGAATGTGCTAGTTTACTATGTGTAGCTTTCATAAGTCAGAAATAAGCATTGCATGTCTCATGTCTGTTACAGAAAGAAAATCTGGACATACCTACAGAAGCAGAACACTATAAATCAAGATGACGGCATAATCCATTGTGCAGCAAAACACTAGCTTGCATCACTATAATCCCTCACATTACAGTGGACAAAACCAAAACGACCATATAAAGAGCTATCACAATGACAGATAATGACAGACTTGAAGTAAATAACAGGTAAGAAATCCATGCAAATGTAAGCAGAATATGAATTGGTGACAGATACCATAATGTGCAGCCTCTCCACGTTGGGAAAGCACCTGAGGAAGGTGGGCACCATCTTGACGTCACTGCGAACCCCAAAACGCACATTCAAGCTCAGAATTTTCACGGTTGTGAGCATGGTACTTGTGCTTGCCTTTATCCCGGGCTAAAATTTTCCCAATTCAAGAAGAACATCACACAACTAATTGAGTCATCAACTGAACATATTTGCTAACTGAACTAACAGAGATACGGGAGACGGGAGATGTACCATGATGACCGTTTTCCCAACCTCTAGGACCTGTCCTGGCTCTAAGAATCCAAATGTGTGCAGCTTGGGGGCATCAACAATCCTGACTCTGAAGGCACCACGACCGACTCTGCCAGGGAGGATAAGCCGCTCGAGGCATGGAGCCTTTAGCATGGTGATGCTCTCCATAACCGAGCTGCAGATTTGCACGCAGCGTAGGCTCTGGCTGACGAGGCGTAGACGCAGCTCCCTGCGGCATCCCTCGATGTTGAGGATCTCCAGGACATGGCTCCTGGCGACGAGGGACTCGATGGCGTCGTGCTCCATTTCAACGCTGCATATGCCGAGCTCGACAAGGTGGGGAAAGGAGGCACGGTGCAGGACGTCCGTGCTCGGTAATTTCCAGAAGCCGATGTAGAGGCTGGTGAGGGTGCTGACACTGAAGAGAGTGGGGGGGGAGGGGCACGTCTTGCGGCCACGGTCGATTGACGAGGACGAGATCTTGGACGCCCTTGGTGGCGAGGAGCTGGATCCACCGCGCAAGCTGGACAAGGTAGCCATTCATGTGGCTGCAGACGAGGTCGACGCAGCGGAAGGGGCCCGGATGCGCTTCGAGGATGCGGGACACGGCCATGGTGACGGCCGGCGAGTTGGCGCGCGTAGGAGGCCAGACGTGGCCGTCGGGGAGGAGGTGGGCGTCGCTGAGGACGAGGGGCGTGGAGCGCCAGAGCGTGCGCCAGCAGGTGGAGAGCACGGCGGTGCGCGCGGCGTCCTTGACGGGGAGGCGAGCGACGATGTTGCGCAGGAGCTCGTCGGGGAGGCTGCTGATGCGGTCGACGCCGTCGGTGGAGGCGGCGAGGGCCGTGAGCCGACCGTTGTTGGCGAACGGCGGGCGGGGGACGAGGGTGTAGATGTACGATAGCACGTGCTCCACGAATTGGTCCAGCTCGTGCGGGTCACAGCCATGGCGCCGCAATGCGGCCGCCATCGCAGGATCGACGTTGGTGAACGGTCTCGGGTCAGCCATGGTCATACGGCGGCGCCGGCGGACGAGCCGGCGAGGGTTTGGGGATTCGACTGGGTGTGGGTGGAGGTGTGTGGCGATGGTGGGCCGTCCGTTTTATAAAGGGACCGAAGCAGTCTCTCTGGAGTGTTGTTACTTAGTTGGGCCAAAGCCGACACAAGTTGCTCACGGACCCACGATTCAGTCACTTATTTTTTTTACCCCTCAAAAAAGTTGTTTCTTTCTTTCATGTCTCAGAAAAAACTTATTTGTTTCTTTTGCTGAGCCATGTTGATCGCCGCACTACAAGGGGTTTAGTATGAACGTCGTTCACTTATCCCGTCATAAAAGAACATCTTTCACTTAGTACCTGCATGTGGAGGATTGTCATGTTTTTCACGATAGGCGGCTATGATTTGCTTACTCCATCGATGTCACACCAACGTTGAGGTCTTGTCTGCCACCTATCCCAATCCCTGCCCTACCCCAGGCTTGCGCAGACGCTCGGGTTGACAAAAGGGATGACCCGCTCATCTTCTCGCCCTTGGTGTTCTGCGGTAAGATCAAACGAGAGAGGACATATTGGATTGTGAAGCGGTAATCATGGGGTCGACGAGATCGAACTTTAGGGAGGCGGAGAAGGGTAAGAAGGCATCAGGTGATGATGGAAGAATGGAAGACTAAAAATGGCAATGAGGAACATGAATCTAAAAGAGGGGGATATGGACGACATCTTTGTCAAGGAGGGGGAGATTGGAGCAAAGGTGTGCAGTGTCGAAGGTCAACACGAACAAGTCGTTCAAATGTGTCATGCTGAACGACACACTCAAATTTGCATGGAGTCTTGCGCATGAACCGGAGATTCGCGGGGTTGATGACAACCTCTTCGTCAGTCAGATGTATTGTCTAGGCATCTGAAAAAGATGATGTCGTAGGGGTCAAGGATTTTCTAGGGTATGATGGTTTTGATCGAAGAATGTGATGATAGGGTTGCACCGGAGTTACTGAAGTTGAAAGGTTGTAGTTTGGACTGAAATACACAGTATCCCGGATCTCTAGCGCAAGGAGACGTGTTGTGGACCGGTTGGCTTGGAGCGTTGACATTGCTCAGAGGGTTGAGATGAATCCTACAAGACTGTTTGAAGGAACTGCCCATACTTGGGAAAGCATTGAAGAGAGCAAACCTTTGATTCACTTTCCACATCTAAACTTGGGTGGAAAAGATGAATCCTACAAGCACTGGAGCGAACCGAAGGCACCCTGATACGTCTCCGTCATATCTATAATTTTTGATTGTTCCATGCCAATATTCTACAACTTTGATATCTTTTGGCAACTTTTTATACTATTTTTGGGACTAACATATTGATCCAGTGCCCAGTGCCAATTCCTGTTTGTTGCATGTTTTTTGTTTCGCAGAAAACCCATATCAAACGGAATAAAACGGAAGGAGATTTTTTTTGTAATATTTATGATTTTTGGGAAGAAGAATCAACGCGAGACGATGCCCGAGGGGACCACGAGGCAGGGGGGCGCGCCCCTGGGGGTCAGGCGCGCCCTGGCCCCTCGTGACCACCCCGTAAGGCAGTTGGTGCCCTTCTTTCGCCGCAAGAAATCCAATATCCGGATAGAAATCATGTCCAAAGGGCAACCCAATCGGAGTTACGGATCTTTGGGAATTTAAGAAACGGTGAAAGGGCAGAATCAGAAACGCAGAAACAGAGAGAGACAGATCCAATCTCAGAGGGGATCTCGCCCTTCCCATGCATGGGAGCCAAGGACCAGAGGGGAAACCCTTCTCCCATCTAGGGAGGAGGTCAAGGAAGAAGAAGAAGAAGGGGGCTCTCCCCCCCTTGCTTTTGGTGGCGCCGGAGCGCTGCCGGGCGCCATCATCATCACCGCGATCTACACCAACAACTTCACCGCCCTCATCACCAACTCTTCCCCCCTCTATGCAGCGGTGTAACCTCTCTTTTACCCGCTGTAATCTCTACTTAAACATGGTGCTCAATGCTATATATTATTTGCCAATGATGTATGGCTATCCTATGATGTTTGAGTAGATCCGTTTTGTCCTATGGGTTAATTGATGATCGTGATTGGTTTGAGTTGCATGTTTTATTATTGGTGATGTCTTATTGTGCCCTCCGTGTCGCGCAAGCGTGAGGGATTCCCGCTGTAGGGTGTTGCAATATGTTCATGATTCGCTTATAGTGGGTTGCTTGAGTGACAAAAGCATAAACCCAAGTAAGGGGGTTGTGGCTTATGGGATAAAGGGGACCTGATGCTTTAATGCTATGGTTGGGTTTTACCTTAATGATCTTTAGTAGTTGCGGATGCTTGCTAGAGTTCCAATCATAAGTGAATATGATCCAAGAAGATAAAGTATGTTAGCTTATGCCTCTCCCTCAAATAAAATTGCAATAGTGATTACCGGTCTAGTTATCGATTGCCTAGGGACAAATAACTCTCTCGTGACAAAAAACTCTCTACTAAAACTAACTTAGTTGTGTCTTCATCTAAACAGCACCTACTTTTTATTTACATGCTCTTTATTATCTTGCAAACCTATCCAACAACACCTACAAAGTACTTCTAGTTTCATACTTGTTCTAGGTAAAGCGAACGTCAAGCGTGCGTAGAGTTGTATCGGTGGTCGATAGAACTTGAGGGAATATTTTTTCTACCTTTAGATCCTCGTTGGGTTCGACACTCTTACTTATCGAAAGAGGCTACAACTAATCCCCTACACTTGTGGGTTATCAAGACCTTTTTCTGGCGCCGTTGCCGAGGAGTCATAGCGTGGGGTGAATATTCTCTTGTGTGCTTGTTTGCTTTATCACTAAGTAATTTTTATTTGCTGTTCTAAGTTGTTCTCTATCTTTAGTTATGGATACGGAACACGAAATGCCAAAAAAATTAGGTGTACTTGCTACTCATGTAGAAGTGGAACCTCCTAAAACCCTCGATGCTGGTTATGTGAAAAATATTATGTACTACTTTGATAATCCTGAGAAAACCACATTCAATTATGTTATGGGAGACACGTTGGATCAACGTGAATACTTTAGGGATTATCGCTTGACAAAAAAATGGAAACTATTATGGGATCAAATTCATATGTTGCATTGGTATGCTCGGGAACTATGCTTGAGATATGATTATACTTGTTTCTCTAGGATGATGGCTCCACACCTTCCCTTTTCATGCAAATTCAATGATAATAAAACCTTAGCTTCTTATGCTAATGGTATATATGATTACTATGATGTGGAACAAATAGAAGAATTCGTTGCTTTTATGGGTGATTATGAAATTGAATCTTTGTTTAAAGAGTTTGAAGATTTTGATGATTCAGTTTATAGACCTGAAAATTTTGCTATACTTAAATATTGCTATGAGAATTATGAATTCAATTCCGATATTGATGCATTTATTGAGGAAGTCTCCGCTGTCCAAGAAGAGACTAATATTTTGCAGGAGTCTATGGAAGAAAAAATTGATGAAACTATGATCTCATTGGATGAAAAAGATGGTGAGGAGAGCGAAGAACAAAAGGAGGAAGAGCGGATTAGCTACCCATTCCCACCTTCTAATGAGAGTAACTCTTCAACTCATACATTGTTTAATTTCCCTTCGTGCTTACCGAAGGATGATTGCTATGATGATTGTCATGATCCTGTTGACTCTTTTGAAATATCCCTTTTTGATGATGCTTGCTATGCTTGTGGCCAAGATGCCAATATGAATTATGCTTATGGAGATAAAATTGCTATAGTTCCTTATGTTAAACATGAAATTGTTGCTATTGCACCCACGCATGATAGTCCTATTATCTTTTTGAATTCTCCCTACTACACTATATCGGAGACGTTTGCCCTTATTAAGGACTATATTGATGGGTTGCATTTTACTACTCCACATGATGATTTTGATAGATATAATATGCATGTGCTTGCTGCTCCTACTTGCAATTATTATGAGAGAGGAACTATATCTCCACCTCTCTATGTTTCCAATATGATAAAATTGCAAGAAACTGCTTATACTATGCATTGGCCTTTACTTGGTGTGCATGAATTGTTCTTTTATGACATGCCGATGCATAGTAAGAGAGTTAGACTTCATTGTTGCATTATATATGTTACTTTGTGCTCACTACCAAATTACAAATCATTGTTAATTAAAATTGGCTTTGATATACCTTGGGATCCAGGTGGATCCATTACTTGAGCACTATATGCCTAGCTTAATGGCTTTAAAGAAAGCGCTGCCAGGGAGACAACCCGGAAGTTTTAGAGAGTCATTTATTTATGTTGAGTGC